GCCTCTTTGAGATGCTCCTTTATACCCAGTCATGTTACTGACCTGTTGTCAATTTTTTTTTTAGCATTACACAACTTTACCAGTCTTTTGTTGCCCCTCTCAGTTTCAACATTTGATATGTTGTCTTTGTACTATTTTAAATTAAATATAGGGTATAAATGATTTGCACATCATTGCATTTTGTTTTTATTTACATTTTGCACGGCGTCCCAACTTTTTTGGAAATGGGGTTGTACTTCATATTGTGCTACAGCTAAACTACTGTAGCTGGATGGGTAACGTGAATATGTTGCTTCTCATGATCTCAGAAAAACAGTTAGTTTCTATATATGGCCTGTATGGACTGCGGAGTGAATGGTATGTTTTGAAACTTTGATCATGTTTACGTACTAATGTTCACTTATTTTTTTCAATACTACATTTCATCTACAAAAAGCTGGGAAAGTTCAGTTTTCTATAATTTGGGCCCTTTAAGATTGAGCTTTAGGAAAGAAGTGTAGTACCCAATAATTATCAAGACTGAGTGACATGGGAACATATGTTCTGATCATTTTTGGCCATATTATCCAGCTCTAATAGCAACAAAACACAAGAATGTACAATGTTATGCAGTTTAGAATATTTCATAATCTCATTTTTGTCTTTTCTTATTTTGCCCTGATGGTCATCAGTGGTTGTGCAATCACTCTTTCATGCATTTGTAACTGTACAGTCTGAGTGCAGGAGAACAATGTTACTGTTATGAGTGTAATGTTTTATGCTCCATCAGGTAGAAACAAACCAGAAACTGGCGTCGTTGAGTTTTTGTGTTTGTTGTTGTTTAAAGTAATTTATTGCAGTGATGTTGGGAGATGTTTGCTTTCTGCCCAGACTCGCCTGGGTTGTTAGCTTTTTGCTATTTTGAGGTGCGGGGGAGAGAGAGCTGTCACTGCTGGTTCTTCAGTCAGGGACTGGGAAGTAAACCAGAAACTCATTTATTATATACACTGATCAGGCATAACATTATGACCACCTCCTTGTTTCTACACTCATTGTCCATTTTATCAGCCCCACTTACTATATAGGTGCACTTTGTAGTTCTACAGTTACAGACTGTAGTCCATCTGTTTCTCTGATACTTTGTTAGCCCCCTTTTACCCTGTTCTTCAGTGGTCAGGACCCCCATGGACCCTCACAGAGCAGGTACTATTTGGGTGGTGGGTCATTCTCAGCACTGCAGTAACACTGACGTGGTGGTGGTGTGTTAGTGTGTGTTGCGCTGGTGTGAGTGGATCAGACACAGCAGTGCTGCTGGAGTTTTTAAACACTGTGTCCACTCACTGTCCACTCTATTAGACACTCCTACCTTGTCAGTCCACCTTGTAGATGTAAAGTCAGAGGCGATAGCTCATCTGCTGCTGCACAGTTTGTGTTGGTCATCCTCTAGTCCTTCATCAGTGGTCACAGGACACTGCCCACAGGACGCTGTTGGCTGGATATTTTTGGTTGGTGGACTATTCTCAGTCCAGCAGTGACACTGAGGTGTTTAAAAACTCCAGCAGCACTGCTGTGTCTGATCCACTCAGACCAGCGCAACACACACTAACACACCACCACCACGTCAGTGTTACTGCAGTGCTGAGAATGATCCACCACCCCAATAGTACCTATATATATATATAGTATCGCTGCTGTTGGAACAAAACCTTGTATCTCCATTTTTATGTTTTTGACATAATTTGAAAACCCATAGGAAAAAAAAGAGAAATAGTTCTGGTGATGAAGGAGAAAAGCGTGAGTTCTCCTTCTGCACTGACAGATGACGATGAGATCTCACACTTTTCTTATGGACATATTACTCAGCTGAGACTGGGCTGAGACGAGTCAGACACTAAAGAGTTAATCCATATTTTGATCAAAGTGAGGAAATCTGACTTTTAGTTCTCAGGAGCCGAATTTCAGAAACAGGAGAAAATGGCTAAAGTCTCACTCTGATCTCAAACTGGACTTAACTGTGTCTGGGAGAAGAACCTGAGACAGAGAGGAGATCTCATTCAGAGTATTTCTTTCCTCTGAAAATGCCTGTTGCTCTTTATATTGTGTGTAAATTTCATGATGAATGGACCAAAAGAAAAGGCCCCAAAATGACTCAGAAAAAAGTCTGGTTCCATTTGACTTACAATAAAAGTAAAGTATGTTTTTCCTTCTCCTGTAAAGTTACCATTTTGGAGGTACGAGGTTTTGCTCCAACAGCAGCAAAATATTCTTCAGACACTGTGACGTGTTTTGGGAGTGTCCTGAGACTAATGGCTTCTGGCCAAGTGCTGCTGCTGTGACATGCCTCAGTGTTAGTGCAGAACTGTCTACTGGGCCTTAACGACTGCAATTCAGTGCTTTCTGGACAGTTTTTATGTGCACAGTGAACAAAAGCTGTTCATTCAGGACCTGATTCTGTAGCCGGTGGGATTGAGCTGAATAATGCAGTGATGTTAGCCACTTTTTTTGCCAGCACATCAATTTCCTGCTGTTTTCCTAAACTCTTTTACCCTCAGCGGTGAGCATTCAGTTGTAAATAAATCATAAAATGCTGTGCCAGCAACTTTGCTGCATTGCAAATGTGTTTTAAAATGTCAGACTACTTTGGCAAAGCTTTGAGAAACAGCTTACCCTGTTCACTGTTCACATTTCTCACCTCCTTCCATGGACACTTATTAGTGCTAGTCGCCATTAGCGTGTCTGATATAACCTGGTCATCAGTGAGTGATGAGTGTTAGCTGGTTCAGAGCTGCTCCGCTATCATCGCCTTTTTGGTGTTTTGGAGATCTGTGGTTACACACTGTTCAGATTCTTGGGCTGCTAGAAACGCCTACCTTATGCTTCCTTTCATTGGCCACTTAATTAGAAACACCTACTTTGTGCTTCCACTCACTGGCCACTTTGTTAGAAACACTTACTTTGTGCATCCACTCACTGGCCACTTTATTAGAAACACCCACCTTGTGCTTCCTCTCACTGGCCACTTTATTAGAAACACCTACTTTGTGTTTCCACTAACTGGCCACTTTATTAGAAACACCTACCTTGTGCTTCCACTAACTGGCCACTTTATTAGAAACACCTACTTTGTGTTTCCACTCACTGCTGGCCACTTTATAAGAAACACCTACCTTGTTTGTCCACTCACTGGCCACTTTATTAGAAACACCTACCCTGTGCTTCCACTCACTGGCCACTTTATAAGAAACACCTACCTTGTGCTTCCACTCACTGGCCACTTTATAAGAAACACCTACCTTGTGCTTCCACTCACTGGCCACTTTATTAGAAACACCCACCTTGTGCTTCCACTCACTGGCCACTTTATTAGAAACACAGTCCTTGTGTGTCCACTCAGTGGCCACTTTATTAGAAACTCCTACTTTGTGCTTCCACTTATTGGCCACTTTATTAGAAACACCTCATAAGCTCCACTATATAGATGTACAGTTACAGACTGTTGTCCATCTGTTGATGCGCATTTTATCAGCCCCGCTTTAAGCCCATTCATCACTGGTCATTTTCTGACCACAGGATCACTTTTGTTTGAGTGATGTGGCCTGGACTGCTAGGTTATGATGAAGTGATGTAATCAGTAATCCAATCTAACCTCTTTAAATGCCAAAATAGGGGCATCATCACTAGTGTTGTGTAAATATTAGCCGCTAACAGCTTAAACAACTCACTGTCTTCAGTGGGATCATTATTTCAGCAACTTTCTTTTCTTATAGACGGTGAAAATTATGAAATACATAAAAGACACGTGACAGTCCAGTGGCCCATTAAATACCTGAGGTCACTTGATTAGTGCCGTTAGCTTCGGGCCAGCAGACAGCGACTGGCTAGCTTCGCTAAAGCCCCATAATGAGTGTGTGTAAGCCTGTGTGAAACAGGGTTCATCTGACAGGTTCCACTCTAACAGCAGATCAAAGAGAACCAAATCCGGCGCGGAGTTACACTCTGGATCGGGAAGCAGCTCACAGATGTCCTCTTATTGTTCTTCATGGACTTTCTGGAAGGTTCTCCTGGATTATAACATAAAGTGACCCAGCGGTGCTGTCCACAGATTTGTGTTTTAAGTTTAGTTAATTATTTTAAGTTGAGTAACGGGTCAGCCAGGACAGGACAGTGTGGCCAGCCACCAGGAGAACCACAATGCTTCTGTATTTCTGATCCAGTGAAATGGCTGAGTGACATTTAGCTGCAGCTTGGGTGGAGGTTAGCTAACTAGCGAGTGAGATATCGACATTAGCCATTAGCTAAAGCGTTTGTGAAGTAATTCATATTAATATTAGGTAAATGTTTGCTAGTGCAAATGTACTGTTTCAGAAAAGGCTGTAGTTACATAATAATGCATAATACTAGTTAACTTAAATCACTCTTTTAGTGTGTAGCTAACGCAGTTAATGTGGTGGGGGCACAGGGGGTCATCCCAGTGTTCCCAGGGTCCTGCCCCATGTTTCACAGTCATTTTGCCTCAGTCTTCTTCCTCGACATAAAAAATCAGATGTCCATACTAGATGTCCTCCTCGTATCTACACTCACTGTCCACTTTATCAGCTCCACTGACCGTATAGTTTCACTCTGTAGTTCTACAGTTACAGACTGTAGTCTGTTTCTCTGCAGACTTTGTTACCCTGTTCTTCAGTGGTCAGGACCCCCATGGACCCTCACAGAGCAGGTACTATTTGGGTGGTGGGTCATTCTCAGCACTGAAGTAACACTGACGTGATGGTGGTGTGTTAGCGTGTGTTGTGCTGGTACGAGTGGATCAGACACAGCAGTGCTGCTGGAGTTTTGTCCACTCACTGTCCACTCTAATAGACACTCCTACCTTGTTGGTCCACCTTGTAGATGTAAAGTCAGAGACGATAGCTCACTATATACTGTACTATATACCGTATATAAGCATGTGTGCTAGTTGGTGTCCCCAAATATTTGAAGTTTGATTGTGTGATCATTTTCTGTGTGTGTGTGTGTATCAGGGTGATTTTGCGTGGAGGAGCGTCTGCGGTCGCTGTTTTCAGCTGAAGGCTGTTCCTCTGCAGAGCCTGTCGGAGCTGGAGAGAGTCCGTCTGCAGGAAGTGGCCTTCATCCGCCTGCTGCAGGACTACAACCTGAGCTGCCACATCACCATCCCTAAAGGTTATTATTAATTATTAATCATTAAAGGGCCCATATCACACATTTCTCTCGCATGTTATTGTTGTCACTGAGCTCCACTATAACGTTAACTATAACTATAACCAACCTCTCTTTATCCTTCACAATTAAACAGGCTGTTTTGTTACGGTGCATTTAAGACTGATATATGTAAATGAGCTCTGCTCTGATTGGCTGCCTCATTGAAAAAGCAGTTCAGGCTGAAACACTCCTTATACGTTAAACAATAAGTGGGCAGAGTAAAACCTCTGTATGTGGATAAACGTGTTGGGTTTTTGTGACATCACAAAAACAAAGTGTTAAAAATTTATTGTTTTAGTGGTTTGGTGTCCATGTATAGACTGGGGAGTGAGATGGTCACATTAATAACAATATTAATACTAATACTACTATTACTACTACTACTGTTATTTTTATTATTATTACATAATTCTGTCAGTTATATCAGATTTTCTTTGAAATTTACATTTTTATCATCTCTGTTGGATCAAAGACTTTCGTCTCCATTTTTGGGCATCATTTGAAAACACAGCTGGTCTTTACATTGTATGGAAATTTCATGAAGAATGAACCAATAGAAGTGCCCAAAATTATTCCTTACTTTAAATTACATGTTTTTTCCCTTTCTCATGAAAAGTTACCATTTTAAAGATACAGAGTTATTCCAACAGCAACAATATCCTGCATTTCAAACATCCATCACTGACGTACTAAATATTTTTCTGAAATCTTCATTTGGAGTAGGGCTCTCGTAAATACATGACTAAAATCAATTATTCAATTAAAAATATTTCATCAGTTTCAATTTATGTTCTTCTATACTGATTACATTGCAATTTGAACGCTAAACAAAGGAAGTCATTATAAAACTGTATTTAGCAGTCTGCAAATTCTCCACAAGGGGGAGCTATTAGCACCATTGTATGTGTCATTGAAAGAGAGGAAACCCACACCAGCAGGATCTAAGGGCTGCATGTATGTTTGCTACATATTTCATATACATGAAGTAAAATTACATATTTCTGTTATAAATTGCAGCTATATGATTACTCATATGCAGTACTTTGATATTTTGATTAGTATAATTACTAATATAATCGATGATAACTGCCCTAATTTGGAGTGAAACATCAAGCTTATTTATAACTATCATTCCAAACACACTGAAGTCAGCAGGCAGTGAATAACTGAATGAGTCAACACAGTATGAGTCAGAAATGTGAGGCCTGCTGTTGCCTTTCAGCATTGGACAGCAGAACTGGACAGTTCATGTAGCCTCAGAGATGTTGGTTGGCAGTGAATGTAGATACAAAGAGGTTTAGAGAAAGAATAAATGTGGAATACATTGGTCAAATAAAGCTGCAGTTACACCAGACATTTGCAGTTCGTGTCTCTTTGTGATATGGGCATGAGCGAGTCTGGACGGGAAGATTAGCGACGGAAAAAATTCTTCATGTTGGTGCGATAGAAACTGTAACAACACAAATGTGAACAAAATGATATCTGATAAATATATACTCTCGAGAGTATAGTGCTGCATACTGATCTGTTGCAAAAACAAAGTGTAGATGGTTTGTGCGGATGGTCACGGCAGGATGACTTGCGTGCAGCTGCAGTTAGGCTAGGAGCTAGCATTGCAGTTAGCAATCTGGCTAACTCCCCTACCAGAAACAGTAAAAACACAAAAGTAAAGATAATAATACAGAGATCATATCATATCATATAATCTCTCTTTCTGTGTTCATTCATAGTCAGTGGGGAAGAAATGTTTCAAGGTTTGTGATTAAACACTGCTAACATTAGCGTTTCCCTTTATTTGCCTCTATCATATGAGGTCACTGCATTCAAACCATAGCGCTATTGGTCAAAGATGCAAATTGGCATGTCAGACTTCACAAAACTCACTCATAGAAATTCACTGGCAAACAATTCGGTGACTGAGCCTTTAGATATGTAGTTAAATGCTTTAAAACAGTACACAGACAGTGAGCTAACACATGCTAAGCCAAAAGCAATCCCATTCTGTCCGTAACAAACAGCGGTCAGACGGTTAATTCACTTTATGCAAATTTCCCTCCGACTCATCGGTCATGGGATTTGTCACACTGGGCCTATTTTAGCACTTCCTGATGGAGCTTCATCTTTGATAGCTTTGTGCTGCTAGTACTAAAGGCCACGTAGCCCAAGAAGAGTATATATATATATATATATATATATGTATATATATAAAAGAAAAATCTGTATAATGTTCTATGCACAAATCATAAAATATAATCTATAAAATAAAATAAGAATCTAGGAAAAATAAAAAAGATGGTGCTCCAAGGGTTCTTTCGTAAAAGTTCTATGTAGAATCCTGAACGATTAAAGAACGCTTTGTATAATTAATATTTATTATGAATATGAATTATGGGCTTAAATATTTCTGTTATAAAGTGCAGCTATATGATTACTTGTATGCAGTATCTAGGATATTTTGATTAGTATAATTACTAATATAATCGATGATAACTGCCCTAATTTGGAGTGAAACATCAAACTTATTTATAACTATCGTTCCAAACACACTGAAGCCAGCAGGCAGTGAATAACAGAATGAGTCAACACAGTATGAGTCAGAAATGTGAGGCCTGCTGTTGGCTTTCAGCATTGGACAGCAGAACTGAACAGAACTGGACAGTTCATGTAGCCTCAGAGATGTTGGTTGGCAGTGATTGTACATACAAAGAGGTTTAGAGAAAGAATACATTTGGAATGCATTGGTCAAATAACTACAGCCTTCGCCATAGTTTATTACAGTACAACAGTTACCATGGTAAAAATACAAGAAACCAAAACGGCAAAGATAGAAACATTGGGGCGTTTAGCGACATAATGACCACGAACTGGAAATGTTTTCATTTCAGAAAACTGGACACCTTTCGTAAACTATAATAAAACAAATAGCAGTGAGCGGCTCATCTGGTACTCCAATCGAAATTCATCCTCAGATATGAGTTTTGTCAGAACTGCCCCAAATAAGCGCAGATAACGCAACATACAAACAGCGCAAACCACGTTTACTTCAGCCACTTTAGCTGGATGGCTGAGTCAGGGATGTTTCAGTCACGTTTCAAATGGAAATGAAAACGCAGCAGACCCTCGATCACCTCCCCCTGTCTAGTCCACTTCATCTGAAGTAGCTCACTTAGTTTTCAAGGTAGTGGACACCTCCACCAACCAAAACAAAGAAGAAAAAAAATCTATCTCCTTTAACTTTTCAGGAGAAGGAAAAACATACTTTACTTGAAATGTAAGTCAAAGGAACCAGAGTTTTTGGCTGTTTCTTTTGATCCATTCTTCATGAAATTTACACACAGTGTAAAGAGTAACAGGTATTTTCAAATTATGTCAAAAACTGAAAACAACAAAAATGGAGATGCAAGGTTTTCTTCTGACCGCGATATATATACACACACACACACACACACGCACACACACACACACATATATATATATATATGTATATATATATAATGTTGTATTTGAATGTTATTAGCTGGTAGGGTGGGATGAGTGCCAGGAGTGAAGTGTGAGAGATGATATAGAAGATCTCTGGGTCTCTGTGTTTGTGACAGAGTTAGCATTTAGCATGCTAATTGTGCTAAATATCCCATATGGAAGAAATATATATGGACATGTATTTTGTATACATTGCAGTCCATGTTGAAATACATTCCCAAAATAATAATGAGCCCACCAATAATAACTGTATGTAAATGTGTTTATCAAATCCATCTGAAAATGTATGAAAATATCCAGAATCCTGTCTGATGCTCTTCACTGTCTGATACCTTTAGAAATGAATTTGTGTTCCAGTATCTTCATTTTAAATCTGATCTAATGATCCTTTAACAGGACAGAAGCGAGTGTTGTGGGTATTGATACTCTGTAAAAATGCAGTTATGATCTGATATCTTGTTTATGTGAAATACATTGTGTGTGAGAGTCTGACTGCAGACGGACATGGTTAATGTAAAGTACAGTGCAGATCACAGAAGAACGTTTAGTTACATCTGGAACCTTCATTACACTCAACTGAACACAGAGAATAACTAATACTAATAAATGAATTTTAAAATATATATTTAACAAATATATTTTTTGGCCCATGATAATAATTACATGGTACATTATCAGCATTCTGATTAGCTGTTTCATGAAACTTGAAATGGTTGAGATGTTTGCAGCTGTTGTGGGTGAATTTCAAGGAAGGAAACAGGAAACTTTATATTATGCAACTCAAGTGAAATTTATTTTCATGTAAGTTTCGAGCAATTAAAGTTGCATCAAAGTTTCATAGTGAAAAGCCAGCTTAACCCTCTTCAAACCCCGCAGGAAGAGCAGGAACGGGTTTGGCACCGTGTTCTGCAGTGCGAGTACAGAGTGCAGGCTCAGTATGTGTCTGCACAAGCTTTCAGCATAACATCATGTCCTTTCAGCAACGGCTCTTCTGAGCAGTCGTCACATACGCAACAGGCAACAGTCTCACTAAGGAAACATCAGATTCTGCTGGATCTATGATATAAGAGGAACTGTACTGTGGAAAACCTACATCGGTTTCATCCCGCCCATTCAGCCTACAGCTGTTTAGCCCCGCCCATTCAGCCTACAGCAGTTTAGCCCAACGCATTCAGCCTACAGCTGTTTAGCCCAACGCATTCAGCCTACAGCTGTTTAGCCCCGCCCATTCAGCCTACAGCAGTTTAGCCCAACGCATTCAGCCTACAGCTGTTTAGCCCAACGCATTCAGCCTACAGCTGTTTAGCCCCACCCATTCAGCCTACAGCTGTTTAGCCCCACCCATTCAGCCTACAGCTGTTTAGCCCCACCCATTCAGCCTACAGCTGTTTAGCCCCACCATTCAGCCTACAGCTGTTTAGCCCCACCATTCAGCCTACAGCTGTTTAGCTCCACCCATTCAGCCTACAGCTGTTTAGCTCCGCCCATTCAGCCTACAGCTGTTTAGCCCCACCCATTCAGCCTACAGCTGTTTAGCCCCACCATTCAGCCTACAGCTGTTTAGCTCCACCATTCAGCCTACAGCTGTTTAGCCCCACCCATTCAGCCTACAGCTGTTTAGCCCCACGATTCAGCCTACAGCTGTTTAGCCCCACCATTCAGCCTACAGCTGTTTAGCCCCACCCATTCAGCCTACAGCTGTTTAGCCCCACCATTCAGCCTACAGCTGTTTAGCCCCGCCCATTCAGCCTACAGCAGTTTAGCTCCACCATTCAGCCTACAGCTGTTTAGCCCCACCCATTCAGCCTACAGCTGTTTAGCCCCGCCCATTCAGCTACAGCAGTTTAGCCCCACCAATTCAGCCTACAGCAGTTTAGCCCCACCCATTTAGCCTACAGCTGTTTAGCCCCGCCCATTCAGCCCACAGCAGTTTAGCCCCACCATTCAGCCTACAGCTGTTTAGCCCCACCCATTCAGCCTACAGCAGTTTAACCCCGCCCATTCAGCCCACAGCAGTTTAGCCCTGCTCATTCAGCCTACAGCTGTTTAGCCCCACCCATTCAGCCTGGAGTTGTTTAGTCCCGCCCATTCAGCCTACAGCAGTTTAGCCCCACCCATTCAGCCTACAGCAGTTTAGCCCCACCCATTCAGCCTGGAGTTGTTTAGTCCCGCCCATTCAGCCTACAGCAGTTTAGCCCCGCCCATTCAACCTACAGCAGTTTAGCTCCACTCATTCAGCCTACAGCAGTTTAGCCCCACCCATTTAGCCTACAGCTGTTTAGCCCCGCCCATTCAGCCCACAGCAGTTTAGCCCCACCATTCAGCCTACAGCTGTTTAGCCCCACCCATTCAGCCTACAGCAGTTTAGCCCCGCCCATTCAGCCTACAGCAGTTTAGCTCCCCACCAATTCAGCCTACAGCAGTTTAGCCCCACCCATTTAGCCTACAGCTGTTTAGCCCCGCCCATTCAGCCCACAGCAGTTTAGCCCCACCATTCAGCCTACAGCTGTTTAGCCCCACCCATTCAGCCTACAGCAGTTTTAACCCCGCCCATTCAGCCCACAGCAGTTTAGCCCTGCTCATTCAGCCTACAGCTGTTTAGCCCCACCCATTCAGCCTGGAGTTGTTTAGTCCCGCCCATTCAGCCTACAGCAGTTTAGCCCCACCCATTCAGCCTACAGCAGTTTAGCCCCACCCATTCAGCCTGGAGTTGTTTAGTCCCGCCCATTCAGCCTACAGCAGTTTAGCCCCGCCCATTCAACCTCAGCAGTTTAGCTCCACTCATTCAGCCTACAGCAGTTTAGCCCCACCCATTTAGCCTACAGCTGTTTAGCCCCGCCCATTCAGCCCACAGCAGTTTAGCCCCACCATTCAGCCTACAGCTGTTTAGCCCCACCCATTCAGCCTACAGCAGTTTAACCCCGCCCATTCAGCCTACAGCTGTTTAGCCCCACCCATTCAGCCTGGAGTTGTTTAGTCCCGCCCATTCAGCCTACAGCAGTTTAGCCCCACCCATTCAGCCTACAGCTGTTTTGCCCCACCCATTCAGCCTGGAGTTGTTTAGTCCCGCCCATTCAGCCTACAGCAGTTTAGCCCCACCCATTCAACCTACAGCAGTTTAGCTCCACTCATTCAGCCTACAGCAGTTTAGCTCCACCCATTCAGCCTACAGCAGTTTAGCCCCGCCCATTCAGCCTACAGCAGTTTAGCCCCACCTATTCAACTTACAGTGGTTTAGCTCCACCAATTCATGCTGAAGAAGAGTGTTTTGGCCTAGACTGCCCAGAGAAGGCACAATACAGGGCAGCCAATCAGAACATAGCTCATTTACATATATCAGTCAGGCACAGTAACAAAAACAGATTGTTTTTTCTTGTAATTCTAAGGTATAAAGAGAGATTGGAAAATAGTGATGTAAAAATCAATTAAAACTGCTTTTGGTACATAAATCTGTACTTAATATACAAGACAAATACAGGATATGAGCCCTTCAAAGTCCTAATGAAATGATTTGCACAACATATGGAGCTAGTTAGCCCTGCCTTTGGTCTTGTTCTCATGAGGGAAATGTCTTAACAAGCTGCTGGTCTTGGTTTACACACTGTTTACTCTGTGACGATCCAGATTTGAAATGATGTGTAATTTGTAATTTTCTTTCAGATGGGCAGAAAAGGAAGAAGTCACTGAGGAAGAAGCTGGATTATCTGGGAAAAGAAAAGAAGGATAAAGGTATTTGGTATTTAGTGTTCACTAAAGACTGAAACTCAGGACTATTAGGCTAATCTAGATTAAAATGTACTGCAGAATTATACTTCTAGACTCTGCAGTAATGGCCTTCTGTTTATTCAAGCATTCCTAATTTTATTTGGAAATATTTGCTCTGACCAATCACAGAGGTCCTCCAGTGTGTAAGCAGCACGGCGACCAATCAGATGCTTCCAATCTGGAAATCTGGAATTGTTCTGGCACTGATATGATAATAACATATTTCTAAATATACAGCATTTTTCATTTTAGTTACCAAATCTCAAAGCGCTTCATGCAGGAATGTCACTAAACACTGGAAATATACAAACTCCAAATGAAAATAATAGCACAGTTACAAACAGGAGAACAAGAGCCACAGAACCTCTAGGCATGTTTTAGTTTAAACAAATATGTTTTTAATATTCATTTGAATAAACCAATCAGCTTGCATTCCTAATATTTTTTTAATGCTGTTATAGATTTTAGGAGCTGCATTAGAAATGACTGAGCTGTAAGAGACCCTCACAGTTTGCAGTAAGACCCCTCAGCTGAGCCAGAGCACGGCCACCAAGAGCTTTAAATGAAGAATCCCACTGAATTCTTCAAAACTGATATGTGAACAGAGAGATTCCAGAGTGGTTTGGTGTGAAATGGTTCAGACGTCTTTACAGTGGTGGTGATAGGAACCAGGGGTCGCCATGACTACAACACAAATATAGACATTTACTATCCAGAACCACCAGTGAACCTACACGAGTCTTCTGAGTTTATATGGAGTTATAATGGAAAATCTGAATATATGTATATGTATGTATGTATGTATATATGTATGTATGTATATATGCATATATGTATATATGCATATATATATGATATAATAATATTATATGTAGACAATATCTATGCATACACTATCGTATCGGCATGCAGCATATATATACATCATTATACATATATATATATATATATATATATACATACATACATACTATAATACAGCATCTAAACTGCTTATCCTCTCTGGGTCGTGGGGGGGTGCTGGAGCCCTATCCAGTGTCATTGGCGTGAAGGCAGGATACATCAGCTATATATATATAATATATACTACACATACATACATACATACATACATACAACACATATATCAGATTTTCCTTATCAAACTCCATATAAACTTCAGTAAGATCGTGTAGGTTCTAACTGGTTAGTCTCATCACATAGCATCGGGTGCTCACCACATAATACTTGGTGCTCACCTGGTACGCACCAGATTTTTACCTAAAAAACAAATACACCACGTCCCTTCAGGGGCTCCGTAATCCCTCCACCATGAATAAATAAATAAATAAACTATTTTGTGCCAAATTTGATCTCAGAACTATGATAAAACAGTGTCTCAGTCATCACACAGTGAATGTTAAAAGGGCTGCATCAAGATTTCTATATTCTTTCAATACAATACATTTTCTATGGGGATTATTTTGCCTCACGCTCTGCTTGTACTGCTCCGCCATGAATAAATGTGCCTTAAAAATATCACTTAGACCAACATTTTCTCAAAATCAGTGTCTCAGTCATCAGGCAGTGAATTCATAACCATTTCATGTAGTAACTTTCTGTGAGGGAGCTTTTAGAGGTCTGGTTTTAGAGGACGTCTGGTTCCTATCACCACCACTGTGAACAGTTCTGACTCTGTAAGTTTCTCTAGAACAGAGCGTTTCACACCAAACCACTTGAATGACTCTGTTTACATCTTACTCAGAAATTTAGAAACAGTGTAATTCCCTTTTAAGACCTTGTAGTCAGTGCAGACGTTGACTGGAAGCCAGTGTTAACAGTGAATCAGACCAGCTCAGACTCTCTTTTCCTGTCTTCTCTGCTCTGAACTAGTTGATCAGGCAAAAAAGTGCCACATCTCATGGAAATATTCGCCCGTATTGAGTGTTCAGCCGTGTGTTTTGTAAACAGCAGATCATACTGTAAGCTGCAATATGTCAAATTAAAGACTGCAAGGTGACATTTTTTCCATGTTACTGTATCTGCAGAAATTCGATAGAGTTTAGGGGTGAAGTGCTTTTCCTCTTTGTGATTTGGCAGAACAGACACACACTAGAGCTAAAGAGGGTGTGGCCAGTGTCATCATACACAGGGGTCAGCGTAGACAGACCGTAACTCTTACCTTCACAGCCTTTAAACTGAATACATTCACTGACACATGTAGTTAAACAGCTAAACAGACTCTCACAGTTAAATACACATACAAACGTAGGGGCTGCATCCTGAAATAGTTCTTCAGATTGATGGAGAATGTGCTGTACATGGTTCTATACAGCTATTGTTATGATGTCAAGCATGTATATAATAGAAAAACTCTTTTTGGTGTTCTATAGAACCCTTTTCAACAAGGTTCTGTATACAACACATTATAGAGAGGGGAGAGAAAGAGACAGTAGAGAAAAAGAAAGAGCAGAAAGAGAGACAGCAGAGTGAGAGAACACAGAGAGCGAGAGACAGTAGAGAGAGAAAGAGCAGAGGTAGAGAGAGAGAGCAGAGAGAGAGAAAGAGCAGAGGTAGAGAGAGAGAGAGCAGAGAGAGACAGTAGAGAAAGAAAGAGCAGAGAGACAATAGAGAGAGAAAGAGCTCAGAGAGATAGTAGAGAGAAAGAGCAGAGAGAGAGACAGTAGAGAGAATGAGCAGAGAGAGAGACGGTAGAGAGGGAAAGAGCAGAGAGACACTAGAGAGAAAAAGCAGAGAGAGAGTAGAGAGAGAAAGAACAGAGAGAGATACAGTAGAGAGAAAAAGCAGAGAGAGAGAGTAGAGAGAGAAAGAACAGAGAGAGAGAGAGAGTAGAGTGAAAGTGCAGTGAGAAAGACAGTAGAGAGAGAGAGCAGAGGGAGAGACAGTCGAGAGAGAAAGACAGTAGAGAGAAAAAGGGCAGAGAGAGAGACAGTAGAGAGAAAAAGAGCAGAGAGACAGTAGAGAGAAAAAAAGGAAAGAGAGAGAGACAGTAGAGAGAGAGTCAGGCTGTGTTCTGCGATGAGCTGACAGAATAAAAGTCGTTAAAGCATTTTTAAGTAAATTAGTCATCAGACGTGACACATTAGATGTTCTCCTGCAATCAGACAGAACGACGACACTCTGATGTTTTGGCTCTTTCTCGTCTGAGGTGACGTGTTTTGTCTGCGCCCCACAGAGGAATTCCACACAAACCAGCATGATCACACCCCCACCACCCCCACCACCCCACACTGTCTGATCAGATTACTGTTTACGCCAGCAAGTCAGAAAGTGAAAAACAAATTAGTATATACTGAATTATTGGCTGGAGTTCCCCAGATTGACTAGGTTCCCAGTTTTCCATACGATATTCCACAGCTGTGTATTTCCAAATCTACAGTGTAATAGCAAGTAAACTGTATGGGTTGACAGCTGCGCTCACGTTCGTCAGTAAACATCAGAGGGATGTTTGCGTTCTCCTCCATTACGTCCGTGCTGCACAGATAGTTTGATTTATCTGACAATTTTATTAAAAAAAAAACAAATTTTTGTGTCTCATTTGTTCCCAACCATGTAACGCTCTGTGCTCTGCTGTCACCGCTGATGGATACGGCTGTTTAAAGTTCATGCCAAACCTTTCTGCTGTAAACAGACACCGGCAGACGTCTGCTATTAAATCGTGTTGTCTCACGTCATGGCCTGGCAACCCATATGGAAAAAGAATACACCGATCAGGCACAACATTATGACCACCTGCTTGTTTCTACGCTCATTGTCTATTTTATCAGCTCCACTTACTGAGTGGATCAGACACAGCAGTGCTGCTGGAGTTTTTAAATACCTCAGTGTCGCTGCTGGACTGAGAATAGTCCACCAACCAAAAATATCCAGCCAACAGCCTCCTGTGGGCAGCGTCCTGTGACCACTGATGAAGGACTAGAGGATGACCAGCACAAACTGTGCAGCAGCAGATGAGCTATCGTCTCTGACTTTACATCTACAAGGTGGACTGACAAGGTAGGAGTGTCTAATAGAGTGGACATTGAGTTGACACGGTGTTTAAACACTCCAGCAGCACTGCTGTGTCTGATCCACTCAGACCAGCACAACACACACTAACACACCACCACCACGTCAGTGTTACTGCAGTGCTGAGAATGATCCACCACCCAAATGTTTGGTGCCATTTGTTACTTTGTTCCATTAGCTTCTCACCAGAGCTGACGATGTTGTTCCTTCTCCTGTAATGTTGCCATTTTGGAGATATGAGATTTTTGTCATAAAAGCAATGAGATGTGAATGATAAATGTGTGTGAGGTGTAGAAGTCACTCTTCCAGATCTCTCAGAGGCTGTATGTGTGAAACAGGCCTAAGCGCTAACATTTAGCCTGACTATACAGGAGCAACGCAGTGCAAGTAGATGCACCTTTAATGTTGTGTGGAGGCACATTTTAGTAGCCTAAGGAAAGTCATAAAACATTTGGAGGATAAACCTGTTCTGTCTCACTCTCTCTCTCAGAGTATGTGCCGCAGGCGTTCGGTGTGCCGCTGCAGCAGGTCATCGCTAACGATCGCTGGCTCAAGCTGCGGCAGGACGCACGAGAGGACCAGCGCGATTCGACAGCCAATTTGGCCTCGTTCCTCCTGCACTTGACCGGACAGAGAGCCAGTCACAGACACTTCTACAGCAGCAACTCCTCCCTCAGCTCCGCCTCCGAGACCAACAACGAACCCGCGTCCCCCGTCAGCCCAGAGGCCGTAGCCCGCTCTCGCAGACGGGTCAGTGCTTGTAGTGATCATTTCTTATTATCTGCTGAGATTAGATGCACTGCATAAATAAATCAGCCAAAAATACAATGTATACAAGCTGTGCTGAGCACAAGCTTCCTTAAATGGAGTCGATCAGCCAAGACAAGCTTGGTGTCTGAAGTTCGCTTCCATTACAGACTGGATGCTAGTGTAGCTAACAAGTAAGCTCATACAGCACCAATTAGCGAGGTGCTAACTGCCCACATCAAACAGTGTTGAACTGTTACCTCTAATAGACGTGATTATGTGGTTTCTGAAGCTGTTTTACACTGTGACCTGTAAACATGGACTAAAGTACAGAAAAAATCCAAGCTTCAATGCAGCTGTTGCTGTTTTTAGCAATGTGATGTACAGTGCTAATTGATACGGCCCTTAGACAGACAGACAGGCAGACAGACAGACAGACAGACAGACAGACAGACAGATAGATAGATAGATAGATAGATAGATAGATAGATAGATAGACAGGCAGAGAGATAGACAGACAGACAGACAGACAGATAGATAGATAGATAGATAGATAGATAGACAGGCAGAGAGATAGACAGACAGACAGACAGACAGATAGATAGATAGATAGATAGATAGATAGATAGATAGATAGATAGATGGACAGGCAGAGAGATAGACAGACAGACAGACAGACAGATAGATAGATAGATAGACAGACAGACAGACAGACAGACTGATAGATAGATAGACAGACAGACAGAACTTTCTTGGTCCTGAACAGAAATTGCAGTGCTACAGTAGCGACACATATAATTGCACATAAACGTACATAAATTAGGCAGAAATAAAAAATAAGCCATATGTTAAAGTATGAGAGAGTAGAAATAAAGTATATCTATTGCATATTTACAGAAGCATATAAGACAGTTTTGTTGTGTGTACATGAGAGCAGGTGTTGCACTGAGTGGTATGAGGTAGTTACAACACAATGAGTATAAACATAACTAGAAATTTACATTTTACAAATATATTTATCAAATACATTTTTTTGCCATTTTCATACATTGCAAAAAATACATTTGGAATATATTCTTTTTCCTTATGGAATGTTGAACACACCTACATTTTTAATGCTCTTCCACAAACAACATGAGCTCTTCTGCCACCATCATGATGCACTTTTATTTTGGACTACAACCAGGACAAATGAGGTCTAATGGATCAGCCTGATATTTATTGCATCCATACAATGCAGAAAAACATGATACGCGTTTTTTGTGTGTAAAATTGGGCTCAGTTTGAGTCTTTATTGGTTGGCATTTTTGGTGTGATTATTGTAATGATCTCAGATCAAAGAAGGCGAGATATTTCTTGGTCCTTTAAAAAGTCGGTAATGTTCTGACTGCCTTTCCACCTACAGGGCGGCATGTCTGTGGACAGCATCACAGACCTGGATGACGGTCAGTCTCGCCTGCTGGAGGCGCTGCAGCTGTCTCTGCCTGCAGAGTCGCTCGATAAGAAAGACAAGAAGAGAGATAAGAAGCTGAGCCTGAACCCCATCTACAGACAGGTTCCACGCGTGCTGGAGCTCTGCTGCCAACATCTGGAGAAATACGGTACCTTTCCTAATAAACCTGCAGGGATTAGGTCATTAGCAGGCCGTTAGCATCCCGGCCTCATTTTACTGCGGGAGGACAAAGTGAAGTGTATTTATGGACCTGCTTTTTCTGAACCTGTGGAGAACATCTGGGTTTGGGCTAGACAGTGATAACTGCTCTGTGTCTGATTCAGGTCTGCAGACTGTTGGGATTTTTCGAGTTGGAAGCTCCAAGAAGAGAGTCCGACAGGTGAGATTGCTGCCGGCAATAATTTCTCCTTGGAAGTCAAGCATTTATAGCTGTTGTTCATGGCTGTGTTTGTGTGTAGCTGTGTGAGGAGTTTGATCAGGGCGTGGATGTGACTCTGGGACCAGAACACAGTGTCCATGACGTAGCTGCCCTGCTGAAAGAGTTCCTCAGGGACATGCCTGACCCTCTGCTGACCAGAGAGCTCTACACAGCCTTTATCAACTGCACATGTGAGAGCAATACATGGTGGACAGATTTATTAGGCTTTAATTGGGCCTGAAATTTTAAGCAAACCCAAATATATCCTGAGAACATTTTACCCGAGTCTGACTGAACCACAGCACCAAATTCATCCAAACCTCTCCGTAACTGGACAGAATTCTGTCCCAACCTGACTCTAATGCTGACTGCAGCCTGAGAAAGCTTTCTCCCAATCCAACTCTAGACCATTAAATTTCTGTTTGAAGCACAACAAAATTCCATCCCAACCCCACTGTATCTTGACAAATTCCATCCCAACCCAACTATACAAAATGCCACCCCAGTCTGACTGTAGCCCAACAAACTTCCATTCCAACCTTACTGTAGCCTCACAAAATTCCGTTCCCAACCTGACTGTAGTTCCACAAAATTCCACCCCAACCTGACTGTAGTTTAATAAAATTCCATCCCAATCTGACTGTATTCCGAGGAAATTCTGTCTGAATCCGAATGTAATATGACACAGTTTCATCCCAATTCAACTGTAGCTCCACAAAATGCCACCCTAGTCCGACTGTAGCCCAACAAACTTCCATCCCAACCTGACTGAAGCTCCTCAAAATTCCACTCCCAACCCAACTGTAGTTTAATAAATCCATCCCAGTCTGACTATATTGTGAGAAAATTCTGTCTGAACCTGATTGTAGCCCAACAAACTTCCACCCCAACCTGACTAAACTGACAAAATTACAGTCACAACTGGTGCCTTGTGTTAGTAACTGAATACGCCTCGGTACTGTAGTTTGTACCTGTCTGTTCTTTTCCCTTTGAGATGAATACAATCAGCAGAAAATGGCGTCTCAGGAGATGCTGACCTGTATCTATGACTCTGCGTACTTTTCCAGCGCTGGACGTCTCGGAGCAGAACTCTGTCCTGCAGCTGCTCATCTGCCTGCTTCCTGCCTGCAACAGCGACACACTGCAGCGCCTTCTCCACTTCCTGTCCACTGTAGCCAATCACGCAGCGGATACCGTCAACAGCCAGGGGGAGCAGGTGAGACACACTGAGAGGTAGAAGCATAGAGGAGCGGATTGATGGAAAGATGGGTAGATGCTTGGATGGTGGTTATAGCCAAATCTGGAAACTTTACAGCTGCATCAGTCGAATAAATCACACTCCTGCAGTGAAGGAGAAACTGTTTTCATTAGGCTGTGAGCTGACAGTGCTGCCTGAAAGAGTCTGAGCCAAAGTGTGGTCATTTTCAGCCTCATTAAAGAGCTGTTAGTCAAAATGTCATAACAAAACCTAATAAACCGCTTTAATCCTGCTGAAACCAGGCAAGCTGGCCAATACATACATGTGTGAACTCTGTTTTACAGCTAAAATTTTGACTGTAGCTCCACAAACTTCCATCCCAACCCGACTGTAACTCCATAAAATTCCACCCCAACCTCACTGTAGCTCCACAAAATTCCACCCCAACCTCACTGTAGCTCCACAAAGTTCCACTCCAACCTCACTGTAGCTCCACAAAATTCCACCCCATCCTTACTGTAGCTCCATAAAATTCCACCCCAACCTCACTGTAGCTCCACAAAGTTCCACTCCAACCTCACTGTAGCTCCACAAAGTTCCACTCCAACCTCACTGTAGCTCCACAAAATTCCACCCCAACCTCACTGTAGCTCCACAAAGTTCCACTCCAACCTCACTGTAGCTCCACAAAGTTCCACCCCAACCTTACTATAGCTCCACAAAGTTCCACTCCAACCTCACTGTAGCTCCACAAAATTCCACTCCAACCTCACTGTAGCTCCACAAAGTTCCACTCCAACCTCACTGTAGCTCCACAAAGTTCCACTCCAACCTCACTGTAGCTCCACAAAGTTCCACCCCAACCTTACTATAGCTCCACAAAGTTCCACTCCAACCTCACTGTAGCTCCACAAAATTCCACTCCAACCTCACTGTAGCTCCACAAAGTTCCACTCCAACCTCACTGTGGCTCCACAAAATTCCACCCCAATCTCACTGTGGCTCCACAAAGTTCCACCCCAACCTCACTGTGGCTCCACAAAATTCCACCCCAACCTCACTGTGGCTCCACAAAATTCCACCCCAATCTCACTATAGCTCCACAAAGTTCCACTCCAACCTCACTGTATCTTGAAAAAATTCCACCCCAACCTCACTGTAGCTCCACAAAGTTCCACCCCAACCTCACTGTGGCTCCACAAAATTCCACCCCAATCTCACTGTGGCTCCACAAAATTCCACCCCAACCTCACTGTAGCTTTACAAAATTCCACCCCAACCTCACTGTGGCTCCACAAAATTCCACCCCAACCTCACTGTAGCTCCACAAAGTTCCACCCCAACCTCACTGTGGCTCCACAAAATTCCACCCCAATCTCACTGTGGCTCCACAAAATTCCACCCCAACCTCACTGTGGCTCCACAAAATTCCACCCCAACCTCACTGTAGCTTTACAAAATTCCACCCTAACCCAACTGTATCTCGAAAAAATTCCACTCCCAACTTGTCGGTAGCCTGTAGCCAGTCACACAGAGGATACTGTCGACAGCCAGGGGGAGCAGGTGAGACACACTGAGAGGTAGAAGTATAGAGGAGCGGATTGATGGAAAGATGGGTAGATGCTTGGATGGTGGTTATAGCCAAATCTGGAATCTTTACAGCTGCGTCAGTCGAATAAATCACACTCCTGCAGTGAAGGAGAAACTGTTTTCATTAGGCTGTGAGCTGACAGTGCTGCCTGAAAGAGTCTGAGCCAAAGTGTGGTCATTTTCAGCCTCATTAAAGAGCTGTTAGTCAAAATGTCATAACAAAACCTAATAAACCGCTTTAATCCTGCTGAAACCAGGCAAGCTGGCCAATACATACATGTGTGAACTCTGTTTTACAGCTAGAATTCTGACACCGTGGGAACATTCTGACATCTTCCTGGAGCTGTTACAAAAACGTACTCTAAAAATAAAAAGTTTTGCTTTTGCTTACTTAAGTTAACACAGCCATAAAACTAACACTATAAAAATCATGCAACTGTGTTTTCAAGGCCTCGCCCACAAATAGATTCTTTAATAGCTACATTTCTAAGGACAAGCTTTACAGAACTCTATAGAGGAAATCCCATTCAACCTAATGAGAAACTGTAGAACAGACTCAGTTTATATCACAATACCTACATTTAGAGTCAGTTATTCATTCAGCCTAATGAGAAACTGTAGAACAGACTCAGTTTATATCACAATACCTACATTTAGAGTCAGTTATTCATTCAGCCTAATGAGAAACTGTAGAACAGACTCACAATACAGTTTCTCACAATACAGTACTGTGATATAAACTGAGTCTGCTCTACAGTTTCTCATTAGGCTGAATGAATAACTGACTCTAAATGTAGGTATTGTGATATAAACTGAGTCTGTTCTACAGTTTCTCATTAGGCTGAATGACTAACTGACTCTAAATGTAGGTATTGTGATATAAACTGAGTTTGTTCTACAGTTTCTCATTAGGCTGAATGACTAACTGACTCTAAATGTAGGTATTGTGATATAAACCGAGTCTGTTCTACAGTTTCTCATTAGGCTGAATGAATAACCGACTCTAAATGTAGGTATTGTGATATAAACTGAGTCTGCTCTACAGTTTCTCATTAGGCTGAATGAATAACTGACTCTAAATGTAGGTATTGTGATATAAATTGGGTTGTGTGCTACAGTTTACAGGTTGAATGGGATTTTTATCAGCGTTTGGATCAATAAATCCCTCTAATTTATTCTTCATGTTTGTTGCTTATGCTGCTTCTCTCAGGTTCCAGGTAATAAGATGACCGCTCTGAACCTGGCCACCATCTTTGGTCCGAATGTGCTGCACAAACAGAAGAATTCGGAGAAGGAGTTCAGCGTTCAAAGTTCTGCACGGGCCGAAGAAAGTGCTGCCGTCATCAGCGTGGTTCAGCGCATGATCGCTTCCCATGAGTCCCTCTTTATGGTAAGCTGGAGTTAGGGGTGAATGATGTAATGAAATGTTATTGTTACTGTGATGAATTATGATAAATTAGCGTACGCTTTTTGGTAGCGTACACTCACTGCCTAGCTGTGGTAAATCAAATTCAAAAGGAAACAGAATTACATGCTGATTAATTAAAACCATCGTATCCATGTTTACAAAACACATTTCCATGGTTATGCTACACCTATTTCCATGGTTACGCTGCAGACATTATCATGGTTACCTAACACGCATATCCATCTTCATGCTACACCCTAATAAAAACAGAAAGCACTAATTAGTAAATTCTGTTTGAACACGGTACAAAAACAAAATGTTTTATTTTTTACCTTATTTTTACTTTATGAACTGTCAATGTTTTTTTAAAACTCAGTGCAAATAAAATTATTATTAACCATTCTGGTTAAGCTATCTCTGTGGTTGCGCTACACTCGTTTTCATGGTTACTCTAGAGCTATGGTTAGTCTAGAGCTATCTCTATGGTTATGCTACACCCATTTCTATGGTTACTCTAGAACTATGGTTAGTCTAGAGCTATCTCTATGGTTACGCTACACCCATTTCTATGGTTACTCTAGAGCTATGATACTCTAGAGCTATCTCTATGGTTACGCTACACCTGTTTCCATGGTTACTCTAGTGCTATCTCTGTGATTACGCTACACCCGTTTCTATGGTTACTCTAGAGCTATGGTTACTCTAGAGCTATGGTTACTCTAGAGCTATCTCTATGGTTATGCTACACCCATTTCTACGGTTACTCAAGCTATGGTTACTCTAGAGCTATCTCTATGGTTACACTACACCCATTTCTATGGTTACTCTAGAGCTATCTCTATGGTTACACTACACCCATTTCTATGGTTACTCAAGCTATGGTTACTCTAGAGCTATCTCCATGGTTATGCTACACCCATTTCTATGGTTACTCTAGAGCTATCTCTATGGTTACACAACACCCATTTCTATGGTTACTCTAGAGCTATGTTACTCTAGAGCTATCTCTATGGTTACGCTACACCTGTTTCCATGGTTACTCTAGTGCTATCTCTGTGGTTACGCTACACCTGTTTCTATGGTTACTCTAGAGCTATTTCTGTGGTTATGCCACACCCATTTTCATGGTTACTCTAGAACTATCTCTGTGGTTGCGCTACAGCCGTTTTCATGGTTACTCTAGTGCTATCTCTGTGGTTACACTACACATGTTTCTCTGGTTACTCTAGAACCATCTCTGTGGCTATGCTAGTGCTATCCTTGTGGTTACACTATACCTGTTTCCCTAGAAATACTAGATCTATCTCTGTAGTTATGCTACACCTGTTTCAGAGGTTACATTAGCTGTCTCTGTGGTTACACTACACCCATTTCTGTGGTTATGCACCCTGACAGCAAAGCTGGCATGAAACTGGCTTGTTGCTCAGTGTTCCAGGAGGCCCACTAGTGGTTAAGCAGAGTATTAGACAAAATCCCACTTTCAACCGTTCATTTTCCACTCGCAGTCCAGTTGCTTATTTTTCCGTCTTTTGTTATACTTTGTAAACTAGTTTCTTAAATATTCTCAATCGAGCGCAGTGTCAGCAACAACATCCTCCACTGAATCACCTGTTTGAGGTTTAAAGACAGTCAGACCTTGTATGCAGGACAGTAATCTGGGTGGTCTGAGGGGGGACCAGCAGCGCCGACCTTATCAAACCAGCAGACCGATATATGCTGCTCTCTGAGTAGAGCTACCTCTGTGGTTATGCTGCAGCCATTCTGTGGTTATGCTCAGTTATCTAGATTCTGATGATGATGTTTCCTGTAGATTCCAGCGGAGCTTCAGCACGAGGTTCTGCTGAGTTTACTGGAAACGGACTGTGACGTGGTGGATTACCTGCTGAGGAGGAGGAAGACGTCTCACTCAGAGTGAGTCAGGACTGCTTTGAAACCCTCATGTATTAAATATCAGAAACCCTATTAATTTATCACAGCTGATTCACTAAGCAGGTTCACACACATTGTACATTTTAATGATTTTTTAAGCAGTGCTAATCCAGTAATCAGTTTGAATCAAGTCAAGTTTTTTAAACGATTTTTAATGAGTAATCCCACCAGCCCTAAATAGATATTTACACATACTATGAAATGATTCCTTCTGCTTTCTATTTAAACAGTGGTGGGGTTGAGGTTAGGACTTGGACCAGGGTCAGGGCTAGGACCAGGGAGAGGATTGGGTTTAAGGTTTTGGGTTGAGGTTAAGGTTAGGGTGAGGATTAGAGCAGGTTTAGAGTTAAAGATAATTATGGTCAGTTTAGTAGATATTTAGTTGAATGTAACTTAAAAGTAAATTAAGTATCTACAAAGCATCCAAAGTGGACTATCCAATAAAGTGCTGCCTGATTTGGTTGTAAGTTCTAATAAAAGTGCAGCAGCGCTTCCTTTACTTTGCAGAACTCCTCTACTGAAGTGATTCTTGATGTAAGCAGAAAGCTGCTGAGAACAGTGTGACCTGCTGTTAGATAACCGGATTAGGCTGTGTGATTAACGGTGTGATGTAATGACGTTTGGCAGGAGTCCAGCCACGCAGGAGCCGGAGCCGGAGGACTCGTTCAGTCTGGGCGAATGCTGTTCCTCCACCGACTCCAACAAAGCATCCAGCGGAGAAGTTTCTCCATACGAGAACAACTCCCCCACGCTGTCGCAGTGGCTGTCTGCAGGGGGCGGGGGCGTCCAGAGTCCAGAGAGACTGCCCCCTGCTGGACACTTCAGAGTCCCAACACCACCTCCACTCACTCACACAGGTAAGTCTGGGCATATAGAAAGGAAATATATTTTATATTAGTATATTATGTGAAAGCATTAACAGAATATTTATATTAAAACCTCGTAACTCCACTTTTTTACTGTTATTTTTATACCTGTTGAAAAGACCAGCTGCTCTTTACGTTGCATGAACATTTCATGACAAATGGACCAGCAGAAATAATCCAAATTTGGAAGAAAATTATGTAATATTAATATACATTTAAGCACATTTGAGTAAAGTTGGTACATTTTTTCTTTCTCTTATAAACTTTATAAACAATTTCAGGGATACAAGCTTTTCTTACAACAGCAATGATGAATTGTATTGAGTATATTTTCTGCAACTGAAGCTTATTTCTATATTTGATCAATCCGTTGACTATTATTAGATTAATCAACTTATCTAACGGCTCTTCTCTCTGTTGCTGCAGTCATTCAAAGTTCTGTCTGTACAGCAACATATGTTTTTTACGGTTCAACAAAAACAATAGAAGCAATGCGCCCCTCTACATTTCTTGTAGTGTATTGCAACCTGTTTAAATGACAGATTTTCACATTTCTGTGTAATATTTTTATCATATATAACATGCAGCCAAGTACTAACAAGGGCAGAGGAACAAAGCAAAAAGAAAAGAAAAAGGACCCATTATCAGCTAAGTCACAGTAACAGTGTGAACGGTATGAATGAATATATATTCTATATATTGCAAAGACAGGAAGGGGGAAAAAAGAAGAAGAAAAAAGGAGGGGGGTCACATTTAAAGGGGATCAAAAAGCCCTTCAGTTGGGTGTCGGCGGATGCGGTCCACGCTCTGGTACAATTATTGGTTCTTACTCAGAGACAGTAAAGTTTTTTCACATAGAGAAAAAAATTATATTGTTTTTTACATTAAATATTAAGGGTGAGCCTCTTAAAGTAAATATGTTCAAGTGTAGCATAATGAAGTGTATCTTTAGTCCAAAGACAGTGAGCTGGAGTGGGCAGGCAACATCCAATTTAGCACTATAAGGTGGCTGAAAGGGTCAGAAATGCCACAAAATTGGACTTTAGATTTGTGATTGCTTCTGCAAGGGGGAAAATTCAAAAATTCCTGTATAATTAACTGGTTAAGATGTAAACAGAGCGGTTCAGAGTGGTTTGGTGTGAAACGCTCCATTCTAGAGAAACTAGTCAGAACTGTTCACAGTGGTGGTGATAGGAACCAGACGTCCACCTCTAAAAGCTCCCTCACAGAAAGTTCCTACATGAAATGGTTATGAATTGACTGCCTGATGACTGAGACGCTGATTTTGAGAAAATGTTGGTCTAAGTGATATTTTTAAGGCACATTTATTCATGGCGGAGCAGTACAAGCAGAGCGTGAGGCAAAATAATCCCCATAGAAAATGTATTGTTTTGAAAGAATATAGAGATCTTGATGCAGCCCTTTTAACATTAGAGAGTCGCTGGTTAATGAAACTTGTTGTTTTAGTTGTCAGCTATGACACTGAAGCTGTTCCTTGTTTCAGATGCAGCCTGTGAAAAGACCGATATGTGGGGAACATGGCACGCTACACTAAAGTCAGGATTTCATGGGAATCTGCACACACATACAGGTGAGTTGCTTAAAGGAGTAGTTTGGCAAATGAATAAGGTTTGCACAGTCCCCCCCTACTTTACCTCCAATGTATTCATCAGCCAAGACATATTTGGAGCCTGAAGGTTGATTCTTTAGTTTTAGCACTGAAACTATGAGGCTAATGTAGCTAATGCCCCACCAATTAGCATGTTGCTACCTGCATGCCTCATCACATACTTGCCGCAGAGTGTGTGGAGTTGTTCAGTGTCTGCAATAGACTTGATCATGTAGTATCTAACACTGTATGATATCTATAGGTTAAGTTTAAGAATAACTTTCCTTAGTGAGTGATTGCAGTGATTTTAGGTATTTTACCCCTCTACAGTGCATAATATCAACAAATGGGTTAGGTAATGTGGAGAAAACTGAATGCCTGTGACCTTTGACCCCTCAGAGAGCACTGCGTTAAACACCAGCATGCATCTGCTATGGACATCATCTCATTGGCTCAGGAAAACGTTGAAAAACTATTGCCAGTAAACACCATCCATCACTGTATAAATCAATGCAACAGCAGAAGTCATATACCAACAATATCCAGAAACGCCGCCGACTTCTCTGGGCTTGAGCTCATCTGAAATGGACTAATGCTCAGTGGAAATATCTTTTGTGGTCTGACGAGTCCGGCTTTCAGACTGTTTATGGAAATAATGGACATCATGTTCTCCAGGCCAAAGAGGAAAATGACCATCGGGATTGTTACCAGCATAAAGTTCAAAAGCCAAGATCTGTAATAGTGAGGGGGGGTATTAGTGGGTAACTAAGACATCTGTGAAAGCACCTCTAACTCTGAACACATATTGGAGCAGCATGTACTTTTCAAGGACATGAAGGCTTATTTCAACATAACAGCACCACGCCACATCAGCATGGCTGCGTAATCAGAGAGTGCGGGTTCTGGACTGGCCGGCCTACAGTTCAGAATTGTCTCCCATTGAAAATGTGTGTCTTAGTAAGATTAAAATACAACAACAAAGGCCCTGTACGGCGGCTTGTGTAGATTTGTACAACAGAAGAATGGCAAAAAAATACACTTTCAGATCCTTCAATTGGCGTCTTCAGTCCTCTCACAATTATTAAGTATTGTTAAATGGAAAGGTGATGTAACACAGTGGTAAACATGCTCCTGTCCTAGGTTTTTGGTAATGTTTTGCAGACATCATATTTTCACTGAATATATATTTTTAAAAAACTGACCAAATTCATAAGGTTAAAATCAGGTAAAACATAAAACATTTTGTTTTTGTATCGTGTTCAAACAGAATTTACTAATCAGTGTTTTAAAAAACTGTTTTTTTAGTATTTCACATACTGTCCCAACTATTTTGGAATTGGGTTTGCATGTTAGCATAGCAGCCATTTTAAAGCCTCAATTTTGCTAGCACTTTTGTCCATTTTTGAACAGAAAATGTCATTTATTTTTTTTTTAATATGCTGTTTCCTTTCAAGATGTACTAAAAACCAGTGTTTAATATTTTCCACTTATTTTTCCGTGTTTTAGGCTCTGATGGAATTCTGCTGGATTCGGTCTTCTCTAGCTCCTCAGAAGTCCTCCTCAGTCACCATGGCAACATGAAGACCCCTATCCGTCGAACACATACCTGTCCGACTGAGGCCGAAGATAGACCACGCCCACCAGTGACACGCGCCTACAGCAGCCCTGTGAGAGACAGCCCGCTGGACCAATCACAGCACAGCCCGACAATGTCGCCTTGGAAACTACGGAGTACAACGGAGGAGGAGACAAGACTGGCCCCGCCTACCCCCTCACTCTCACCCAGACCTCCTCCTCCGTACCCCGGCCCAAAAAGAACACAACCCACGTTACTGCAGTCTTCAGGAACGTACCGCCACAGTGCCTACAGTTGCCCTCCCAACAGCCAGGGGGCAGCGTCCATCTGCACAGACATTACTGACCCTGCAGCTGGCGAATACCAGGACTGGCAACGAGACAACTGGCAAGTATGGCAGCTCTTATCATCAGACAGTGTTGACACACTACCAGAAACGCTGGTGTGAGATGATGAAGAGCGCCCTCTTGTGGCCACTGTGCCTACAAAAGCCAGGACAATGGATAGTATGTTGTTTTTGCAGTTTTGTACTGATGTTTTCTTTTTCTTTGTGGTTTTGTTTTTGCTCTTGTCACTTTATTACATGTCAGTTAAAAAAAAAAAACAGCAGATTTTCATCATTCTGTTTCATGTACACACTGATGAATTTCATATGAATGTATTCTTTCATTACTGTCTTCCATCTTTGCAATGATTCAAACACTTGTGTATTTTGTGCACTACTTCATACAGAGAATTCTTCCTAAAGTTTTGTCTACCGAAACTAAACAAAAGATCACCAGCCAGTCTGTAGCGTTCAAAAGCTTGGAATCACTTGTCATATTAATAATTGCTGTTATTTTATTCATAAATAAAATACTTCAAGATGTTTTATTCTTTATATATTATTAAATGATAAACTATATATTGTACTTATCTATTTAAAGTAATTAGATTAGATAAGAGATTTGATCATTACATTTCAAATACAAGCAAATCAGGACGTTCATTTTATCAGAAATTCATTTGTGATATACAGCTTTCTCTGTCAGTTTAGAATCTTCTGCAGCTCTACACTTCTATTATTTCTTAATTTTTCTTTTCAGCTTCTAACAAATTAGTTAAAATCTCTGAACTTGCACAGTGGCAGCTTCATAATAAATCAATTTATATACAGTTATAACATAAAAAAATGAATTCCATTGAAAACAGTGATTCCATAGTTCTCAAATGTGATTCCAAGCTTTTGAATGCTAATGTATGTCATACAAAAATATGTGCATGCAGTAATGGTGGGAAATATAAATATGTCTCATTCTAATGTCTAATTAATTTAATTTAATTCAACAACCATACAACCCACAGATTCAGAGACCCATCTGAGCTCAAGAATTATGCTGACATTTTTCTCTTCTGGAAAGAATTAGCAAGGTAGCTAACTATCTTTAAGTAAAGGAACATGAGCAAGAGAATTTATACTGAGTCATCTGGGTTTACCTGGCGCTCCTGAGCAAGTCCAAAATGAATGGGTTCCAGTAGAGCTTCTGTGCAAAATCGTGGTTTGTAAATGCTCAATCACTTTTACACAGAACAGTTAACTTGATTCTCGACACAGGAAAACACCAAAGATTTCAACACTCTGTTATATTTTTGAACTCCAGTTATAGGACTTTAGAACTCATGTATGTTCATGACCACATACATGAACCCAGTGAACGCAAACCACTTTACTCAGCCAATCATCTCATCAAATCACCAACCAATCAGTGCTCAGTAGCAGTAATGCTAACCAATCAGTGCTCAGTAGCAGTAATGCTAACCAATCAGTGCTCAGTAGCAGTAATGCTAATAAATTAGTACTCAGTAGCAGTAATGCTAACCAAACAGTTATCAGTAGCAGTAATACTAACCAATCAACGCTCAGTATCAGTGATGCTAACCAATCAGCGCTCAGTAGCAGTAATGCTAACCAATCAGCAATCAGTGCTCAGTAGCAGTAATACAAACCAATCAGCACTCAGTAGCAGTAATGCTAACCAATCAGTGCTCAGTAGCAGTAATGCTAACCAATCAGCGCTCAGTAGCAGTAATGCTAACCAAACAGTTCTCAGTAGCAGTAATGCTAACCAATCAGCACTCAATAGCAGTAATTCTAACTAATCAGTGCTCAGTAGCAGTAATGCTAACCAATCAGCAATCAGTAGCAGTAATGCTAACCAATCAGTGCTCAGTAGCAGTAATGCTAACCAATCAGCGCTCAGTAGCAGCAATTCTAACCAAACAGTTCTCAGTAGCATAATGCTAATTAATCAGCACTCAGTAGCAGTAATTCTAACCTATCATGGCTCAGTAGCAGTAATGCTAACCAATCAGCGCTCAGTAGCAGTAATGCTAACCAATCAGTACTCAGTAGCAGTAATGCTAACCAATCAGCGCTCAGTAGCAGTAATGCTAACCAATCAGTTCTCAGTTGCAGTAAGTCTAACCAATCAGCACTCAGTAGCAGTAATGCTAACCAATCAGCGCTCAGTAGCAGTAATGCTAACCAAACAGTTATCAGTAGCAGTAATGCTAACCAATCAGCACTCAATAGCAGTAATTCTAACCAATCAGTGCTCAGTAGCAGTAATGCTATCCAATCAGTTCTCAGTAGCAGTAATGCTAACCAATCAGCAATCAGTAGCAGTAATACTAACCAATCAGCACTCAGTAGCAGTAATTCTAACCAATCAGCTCTCAGTAGCAGTAATGCTAATTAATCAGTACTCAGTAGCAGTAATGCTAACCAATCAGTGCTCGGTAGCAGTAATGCTAATTAATCAGCTCTCAGTAGCAGTAATGCTAACCAATCAGTGCTCAGTAGCAGTAATGCTAACCAATCAGTTGCTGTTTCCACATAAATGACTGGATACATGTTTTAGTATGTAGCCGTTTAGCTCCATTCACCCCATTCATTGAGGACCTGCTTGCAGGCATCATCCAGTGCTGCAGTCCTGGTTTTGATACAGTGGGATGAATAGGAAGCCGGACGCCCCTTAAACTGGCTCTGAGCCAAACAGCTCGAGTTATGAAGCTAACGTTCAGCCGAAGTCTTTCAGAAGGCTGGACATCCACACATAGCAGCAAGCTATCTACAGAGGAGCTGTCCTGCAGGCCCTGACACGATGAAGAGGCGTGGCTTTTATTGTGATATCAGGGAGCAGACATGCTAACACGTAAGCGGACACATACTACACCCTGAAAGGGGAAGTCCACTCATTTTTCAAACCTTTCCGCATAGTTCAGAGATGTAAACAGAGAGATTCAGAGTGGTTTGGTCTGAAATGGTTCAGATGTCTTTACCGTGGTGGTGATAGGAACCAGGGGTCGCCATGACTACAACACAAATATAGACATTTTATTTACTATCCAGAACCACCAGTGAACCTACATGAGTCTTCTGAGTTTATATGGAATGTTGATGATGGAAAATAGTGGAGAATCTGTAACAATAAGGAACTATTTTGCATGTATCCCTCCACCATGAATGGATTTTAAGACCAGAATCTTCTTAAAACTATCATAAAACGATCGTTTCATACATCAGGCAGTGTATTCATAATAACTTTCTGTATGGGATTTTTAGACATCACACAGCTCTGAATGACTTTTAAGCCTTTAATTATGGAGAAATATTTAAAAATTGGTGGAATTCCCCTTCAAACTAGAAGCACTTTGGTGAATTCATAGTACCTTTGTATTTAAAATCTGTTTTAATCCATTTTTGATTGTTTGAATCAGTCAAATGAAATATATAGAACATATAATATCACTTTATAAGATCATAAGACCACCGACTGTTTAATTTCTGATTGAATGGTGGGATTAAACAGACTGAATATGCTGATACAGTGTAGATAATATTTCTATCAGTTATTATTCTGTTCAGTAAATATTGCTGCTGTGTAAATCACCATCTTTTTACAGTCTTCATAAAACAACAGATAATAACACAGATAAAACGCTTTTTCTTCCTTAGTGTTTCTTGGCAAACGTGAGCAGAAACGTCTTTAACTTCCTGGGAATTTTCTTTGTTCCAGTAAGAGATTATTTGTGAAATGTGTTCTTTGTTGATTCTGCTGAAAGTCTTTTGTTTGTAAGTCTGTTCTTGTTAGGGCTGCGTTCGCTTACGCAACTCCTGGCTTCATGTCTTTCCTTCATTTTCTCTTAAATGAGTCTCAAATGTTTCGTGCACGGCGTGTAAATAACGGACTTTGTACAAACAGAATAATTATCTTTCTGCGCTTTACTGTCTGTACCTTCATCCACATCTGCATCTTTAGGTTTATGACGTCCACATTATTTAGCAGTTATTTTGTATTTATTCTGTATATTTTGCAGTACTGCAAGGACAAAAACATGCTGAAGTATTTTGTTCTTGTAAGTAACCACAGAAATTATTATTTGAAGTAAAATTGCGCTCTAAATCATTCCCATATCCACAGCTGCTCTTCCCAAACAGGATCATCTACCTCATCTGGGTTGTGTACATCATATAGAACTTTATGAGAAGAGTAATTGCTGAACTTCTGCACATTAAAGGGCCCATATCTTCAAGTTTTCTTTTATTTTATTTTTTCCCCATTTTCCATTCATAATTTCCAGTCATAATTCATTTTTATATGACGATTTTCCAACATCTGTGTATCCCTAGGCTGGATGGGTGGAGCTAAACTGCTGTAGGCTGGATGGGTGGAGCTAAACTGCTGTAGGCTGAATGGGTGGGGCTAAACTGCTGTAGGCTGGATGGGTGGAGCTAAACTGCTGTAGGCTGGATGGGTGGAGCTAAACTGCTGTAGGCTGGATGGGTGGAGCTAAACTGCTGTAGGCTGAATGGGTGGGGCTAAACTGCTGTAGGCTGGATGGGTGGAGCTAAACAGCTGTAGGCTGAATGGGTGGGGCTAAACTGCTGTAGGCTGGATGGGTGGAGCTAAACTGCTGTAGGCTGAATGGGTGGGGCTAAACTGCTGTAGGCTGGATGGGTGGAGCTAAACTGCTGTAGGCGGAATGGGTGGGGCTACACTGCTGTAGGCTGAATGGGCGGGGCTAAACTGCTGTAGGCTGAATGGGTGGGGCTAAACTGCTTTAGGCTGAATGGGTGGGGCTAAACTGCTGTAGGCTGAATGGGCGGGGCTAAACTGCTGTAGGCTGAATGGGTGGGGCTAAACTGCTGTAGGCTGAATGGGTGGGGCTAAACTGCTGTAGGCTGAATGGGCGGGGCTAAACTGCTGTAGGCTGAATGGGTGGGGCTAAATTAGCTAGAGTTTTCAGTGATATGGGCCCCTTCAACAGATGATCTGCACTAAAAGAGTCATATTCTGTGTTTATGCACAACAGACTTTGTATAAGAGCTCATTACTGAATTTAATTCGCATTGCACTGAATTTTTAGCTTGTGAACCACAAACTCATCCACAACCTTATTATACTCCTGATGTTTCTTGTGTATCTGTATTTCTCCAAAATCTGAATCTTAATGACGCTGTTCAGTCCATTATTCCAGTCGCCTGTTTGTATTTCTGTTCATGTGCCACAGAAATGTGTTGCCAGATTCTGAATAAATGCACTTTTTGGTGATAATCATACAATCTTTGTAATATTTATACAAATGCTTTGTAACCTTCTAAGGAAACTGTCTTTATTCATAAAGGTCGTAACATATTAAAACAACTTAAGGCTGAAATTTTCACAAGCAATTCAAAATATTATGCTTTTAAAAATATCAGCGCATAGAACTGGAGCTTTCTGTGTGAAACCTTCCTATCACTGTTTTTAAGAGGGTTTTTGGATCGGTAGGTGTTTATAACAAATAGTTTAACTGTTTAAGAGAAGCAATAAAACATGCATAATGTATTAATTATATTCATATTCGAGTTTACTTGTTCAAGAATATAATATGTGACATGTTAAAATGTGTACAAGCTTTGTTTTGTCAGATATATTAAATTTATTACAGCCTTTTGCTGCAGCTCTCAATCAAAACGTGTTCAAATTTCCATCAAAATCTGCGGCTCTCAGTGTTAGTTTGAGCTTTACGGCTGCAGTCTGGACTGAATGTGGTCACTAATTCAAGG